GTTTGATTTCTCGTGAAATGTAGGATTGGAAGTAAGATGGATGCGTCTAATTTATTATCATAACGATTAATACTTCTGGATCCTTATATCTTATATACTGACAAATTTGTATAATTGTTATATAAAAAAAGTAAACGTTATTCATGTTTTTAAGACAATAAATGTATTTATTTTTTCATTTAATACTTACTTCATAAAGTAAAAAAATATATATTAAGAAAATGTATAGAAAGATGCAGTAAAGCTCTTGTCACAAAAAAGCATGGTTGGAGGAATGCGAAATTTAACGTGATCGAGAAGACATTGAAGCCAAACAAATTTAGTGACAGCTTAACAAAAGTTAATGCCCTATATTCAGCGTCAACTATAGATCATGACACTGGCCTACTTTTGTTTTTCAACGTATCAATGCATCACCAAGAAGCATGCAGAAATTAGTAGTGGACAGTCCATTGGTATCTAATCAATTTCCCTATTCAACATTTGCATAAAGCAGTGATCTTAAGGGATGAATATAGTAGGGTGCAAATTTTAGGTAGATGAATTCCATGAAAGCTATGGAGTACAAGAAAAGACATTAACAGACTAAGTTGATGAACTGCATAACAAAATGTTAGGCCGAGAGATGGCCAAAAAGATAAGGTAACTACTCAGTCTTGTACGTAAAGAAGGATTTAGCAATAAGTCTCCGTAATGTATATAGTTAGTTTGACGTTGAGATCCATTAGCAGGTGTAAGAGTCAATGCGGGTCGATTGATATGAAATATGGTACTTCAATCCATATGCAACCAAACATGTTCATGGAAGATAGATAGAAGATATTGATCACTAGCTAGTCTAAACCCTAGTGATCAATATTTTCGTTTGCTTATATTTTACCTTCTAACTCACTTACAATCAATGCATTGTTTACTTTCTAAGAGGGGGACAAGTGAGCGGGTGTTGTTTGCTTCTAGGGCCCAAAGTTTTTCTATCTACATTCAAGAAATTTGACAACTCAAAATGGGCTTCATATTTGGTGGAGAGATCGAAGAAAAAATCTCTGTATGAATTGTGAATTGAGTGGAAGGTGGAGCAAGAGTAACCATTTAGGTGATGAGTAAGGGTTAGAGACTTTAGTGCTGGATCTTCTTAGAGTCACGAATGAATTGTGAATTGTTATAGGGGCAAGTTTTGTGTATAAGTTGGTTGTGGATTTATAGTAAAAGTGTGACAGTTAATAAGGTTCATATGATTGACTCAAGTAATGGAATACTACGTTTGGAAATATGTCTATATGTTGAGTGTTGTCAATGGGATGGAAACAGAAAATGGTTTCATGAATGATCTCCTCTCTAGATATTTAAAACAATAAAATTAGCTTGTAGCTAGGACACATAACTTGAATTCTTTGTAACCTCGAATGTAAACACTACTAAAAGTTCTGCTCAAGGTTGAACTTATGTCAACTTGATGGTTAGGTAGCTACAATGTATAAGCAACCAAATATAAAGTATATGGTAATCGATATCTTTTGCAGGAAGAGTTGTGTATAGATACTAAGAAGAACAACTGAAGGTGTCATTCCAAAGATAAATGCGTGAATTTGTCTTATTATAATGCAAAGATGGTATATATTGGTTAATTTGTCTTATTAGCTTGCCGTTGAGCGAACGCCTACTAAAGCTTGAAGCAAGTTTTGTAGAAAATTGATTGAATTTACATAATGACATTTGAATAACTAAATAAATAAATAAATTACATAATGCAAGAAGCCTTATGTAGAAAAAGCTGTATGTGTGGAAATAAGAGAAGTCTTCACTCTTAGCAAGTGTTCCTTTTTCCTTTTTAGAGTAAAAAGACGGACACTTCCCTTTTCAAGCTTTTATTAATTAACTAACTAGATTTCTATGCAATCGAGGGGCATTTTAAATTTAGGTAAGCTTTTAATAATTATTTACTTATATTTTAAATAATATATTATTCATTAAAATACAGTGAGATAATCAAATATTAATAAATATTTAAATTGTATAAAATTTTATAAACTTAATTTATTATATAAAAATTTAAATTGAAAGATTAATAAAATAGTTTTTATACAAAAAAGTAATTGAATATTTAATTTTATTAAATTTGACACTTGATATCATTTGATCTTGATATATGTGTGTGTAAATAATAATTAAAGAGATTCATAAATATAAATAGTTAAATATTATTTATTTAAAACTGAAAAATACATCTAAATTTTTTAAGAACTAGTAATTAACTTTTTAAATGTGTGTGTATGTTCGATATTACCAATAACGAAACCTATAATGAAATACATGTTAAGAATAAATATTTTATTTAAGTAACTAATGAAGTCCAATACAATTGATAAATAGATATTCTATGCAATTTATTAAGATTCAATTTTTTACCTTAATATATATTAGTTAAAAGATAAAATTGAGGAGACTTACCCTAGAAGGGGGGGTTTGTTCTTGTGCTATTCATTGGGCATATCCTTTGCTCAGACACTCCATTTCGACAGGGATACAAAAGAATTCATACTTTCTGAACGCATTAATTAAAGTGAAGCCACATGCATCTTCCAAAGTTGACTCTAACGTAGAGTCATGCATAAATTTAACTCTTGTTATCAACTACCACGAGATCACGTTATGGAGGGAATCGTACATATTGTGGGGATGAATCTCAGCTTTTAAATTATCATGATGGCATACATACTGCAAGCACATGATTTTTAATTCCATATTATTTTCTTTAGAAGATGAAGAACCTAAAACTATTATAAAAAGAAAGACATCGAAAACCTGTTGTGCCAGGTCATTGCATCAACGCTTCATGGAGACCAGCTCGTGCATTGATACTTCACGTGGTCAATGATAGAGTTTATCAGAAAGTAGGTTTGCGAATGCAGAAGATGACCACACAAAAGATCAATTCTTAAATAACCATATATGTATAAATAAAAGAAATATTTTTTATATTAGTTAAGTTTAAAAACTTTTACAGAATTTTTTATTTAATCTTCACCCTCAACTTATACTTATTTCTTTCATGTTATTAATATTTTCATTTTAGTTAATAATAAAACAGTCACTTAAGCATACATTTTATTATTTACTTTATTTTTATATTAAAAATAATTATGTAAAAAAATTATATCATTAATAAAATTAAAAATATTTAAATAAGTGAAATAAATAATCTGTTATACATAAAATTGTACCAGTTTTGTGGTCAATAAAAATTTAAATAATTTTTATTTATCAAAATGATTTTACTACTTTGTTTAATTAATAGGTTAATTTTATAAGAAACATTATTTGGGATTAAGATTACTGCATACTTTCGTAAGAAATATAAAATAAGATAACTATAATTAAAAATTGATAAAATAAACAATGTTTGTATTCAAGTTTAGTTTATCTATTAAAGTATAAAATTAAAAAAAAAAAAATATTATGCATAACGATTAAACAAAAGATGAGAACTTGTGTAGATGAAAAAACACAAACATAATTTGGAAACATATTTACAGTGCATAATAAAAATTGTAATTTTTTTCTGAATAATCTATTTATTTATTTTTTTAAGAAGTTTTGCACACGGTAGAGTTCAAATGTAAGACTTATAGGGAATGATGAATTCTAATCCAAAACTTCTCGTGAATCCAATTATTACATTTTAACTTGAGTTTATTTCTCTCTCAATTAAGTGTTTGCTTTGATAAACTATTGGTTATTGAATTAGATTTAAAAAAGATTATTATAATTGTTGATATCTTAAAAATAGAGTTGATGATTTTGTGATCTTATCAATTCTTACACTAAATGCGTATTTTAATTTAAAAAATCTAAAGAATGAAGATTCTTAATTAAGAAAAAAGGGGTTAGTTATTAAGGAATCATTAATGTTAGCCTAATTCAATGAATTTGATCTTGATTAGAAATTAAATTTTGACGTGATTTGATAGCTTGAAATAAGATTTGGAAGAATTCTACCCCAACTCTCATATATACTTCAATTCTACTATTCCATTTTTCTGCATTATGTTTTTTTGTTTTGTTCTTTAATTAAACACTATTATTATCGCTTTAAACTTAAATTTAAATAATGATAATTTTGTGAGTTGATAATTGAGTCTAATTTTGTTGAAACAATATTCATACTTGCATTTTATTATTTGATACAGTTAATTAAGTATACTTGTCAAAGTTTTCTCCTATCAAATATATAACTAATTCCACTCTTGAATATATTGTACCAGGAATGGTGATTTCAATGTAGCCTTTGGAGATATCTTCCCCGACATTAGTCCAAATCTTGGTTTTATGGCTTTATGCAGAACATAAGCTCGTCAGGGAGTGTCCAAATGACTGAATTATGGGCAATCCTTGTTGCTTTCAATGTACTCTAATGTTACAATGTTATTTCTTTGTTTGGAGGAGTGAAGTAGAAAGAAAAAGGGTGAATGAAAAAAATAAAGATATTATAGGGAGGTTACATTTTTTTTTTCTCAACTGTGCCTCCCATTTCTGGCAGTGGAGGCAAGAAACATTTTTCAGTGGGTCCACCACTAAAACATTTTCTCTTTACCAATTTCTTGCAATGCAAAAATAGGCTACATCCACCCTAAATACTTCTCTCCCTCCCAATACAACAAATACAAATATTGTATAAAAGACCATGCCCCCATTATTTTGTAAGGCTTCATTTTCCTTTGTTTAGTTAGATACCAAATAGCTGGAATGAACTTGTGTTACTCCCTCTATAAATATGAAATGAAACTAAATCAAATGAAAAGATCAAAACACTCAAATATATTTACTCATGTAACATACATTTATTTAGTTGAGTTTGGGGAACATAACTCCCTGTTGATAATTAATAAGATAATGGACTCTGAACTTCTTGTCTCTAGTAAGAGATGGATGACTTATTACTAATTACACATGCTTCTTTCTGCAAAGCATAGACTTTCCATGGCATAAAATCATGGAATAGTTTATTTCATTCTTTTGTTATAACGAATTACTAAGTAAAGAACCACCCTATGAACTAATAACAAGGTGGCCAAAGCTATTAAGTCCCACCATTTGCCATAATTCAATGGAACCCCATATACCATTGTCAGGACTTGTTCTCCAGAGACTTTTGGGTACCCAGATAGCAGAGGATCAAATTCAATTCCTAGCATTTCATTCTTGTACTGTCCCTGTAGTTGAATAGTAAACAACAAGGAATGATTATCCAACAGAAGTGGTAGTTTTTCATCAATGATTATAGTACTAGCAATTGAATCATATTTATTTTCTGAGTATAATTATTAGGAGAGTGGAGAACGCACGATGTTCTATGGTACCATATTCATAATTTTGTGTTGGCCATTTTGGCATGCTTAATAAATTCTCAAAATGGTAGTATTGTACCTGAACTGCCCAAGAAGCATAACTGAGGTAGGACATGGGATAACGCCAAAAGAACTTTGGTATGTCACGTAGTGGTCTGAATATTTGAGAGGGCATCATCATGAAAACCTACAACAAGTCATTCAACTAATTAAATTAATCATCTAGCTATTACTAATAATGTTTGTCTCACACAAATATGCTTTTACACTATATCCGTGGACCTTTTATGATAAAAAAAAAAGAAGCATGAGAGATAAGAATTTATATTATTTTATGTTATTAACGAGTACAATATGGTCCTGTTAGAGAAAGAAAGATACAGTTTTTTTTATCAAATAAGGACTCATAATTATTAGTTGTTGGACCCTTTAAATTAATTTGATAAAAATTATGTCTTCCTCTAATACAATCATATCATGTTATTTAATAACATGAGTATCAAAATCTAAGAGACAAAACCGTTGTATGAGGGGAGTGTAAAAAAAAAGGGAGGTGAAAATATCATAGTTGGAGTTATTGCTAGGTACAGAACATTCATATACGAGGATCAGAGAAATGATTTGCTTACCATTACACCTGATCCTGTTCCTAAGCCCATCAAGACATTGGGCACCACTGAGGCCACAATCATGAAACAGCTCTCCGCAACAGATAGGCAACAGAATAAGTTGATGAAGAAAAATGTGCAATGAGCTAAACCTGGATGAAATTGTACCATGAGGTATATAATTGTTCCAGAGAAGAGTGATAAAACAAGATGGAAAGGGAACGATGATATCATATTGGATAGAACAAATGCAGCCTCCCCATAATGCCCTTTGGACCTTTCACCATAAAACACCTGATTTTCATTAGGATTAGTTAGAAAGGTAACAAAAAAAAAAGAAGAAGAAGCAAACTTTAGTATCATTTTAAGTGAAAAAATGGAACAATTTATTATATTATACCTTCAAATCTTCAATGAAAAATGGTAATCCTCCACATGACAAACAAATCATGAACCCATAGATGAATGTTATACACTTGCCTCTAGCCAATATTGAGTTGTTTGTGCCAATATGAAAAAAGAGGGTGCCAATACTGAATGCTGCTAGTATGTAGAATATTATCCTCAACCAGTAGTATCCAATGTCCCTAGTCATGTGTAGCAACGATCGCTGGGTCAATGTGCACAGTTGCTTCCACCATTTGGTACTGCTTCCAGTCTTTGGCTCAACTTCATGCTCATCCTGCACATTGCATCTCAAAGATCACTAGAATATAGAACAAATTGTTAAAGAGAAATGAGACGAAAAGGGAAACATAATGCTTTATAAATGGTCTGTTGCTTAAAATAAATTGATTCTTGGATTCTTTTGATTGGACTTAATCATGTTTAAAGAAGATTCAAAATATGACTGTCTTTCCAAGTGATCATGTAGGTAAACCGTTAACAAGTTTCATATAAGGATAAATGAAAAAAGAGTTTGTAACCAAAAAGTTTATAGTAATATTGACTAAAGTTTATACATTGGTTTTCAGCTGTTGAATTCTTTTTCTTGTTTTCATCATTAGCTTTGAACTGTTGTAACTCTCAATGAGGATTCCTCTAATCTCTGTTATTCTCATTCCCACTGTTGAACTTGATGATTTTGACTGTCAATAAGAAAATTCCACATTCAGAAGCTTGACAAACAATTTCCCTTTTTTAAATTATGGCTAGAACATACTTACAAGATGGGAATGAGATTTTGCAAGAGCTTCAGTAATCGAGTCAAAGTCCAAATTAATACATAAAAGGAAATGATCTGAAGGATTTCTTGTAGTTGGACAAGGAAACCCTGCATCGGCAAAAAACTAATCCCAAAATTTAATTAGACTCAAATTCACACTAACTAAATTGGACTCTCCTTCCTGAGTGCGGTTAAAATGTTTACCTTTAGAGCCATCTTTGCATCTCCAAAATAAACAATTTCCCCGCTTGAAAGCAAAAGCAAATCATCAAACATATTAAAATTTTCATTACTTGGCTGGTGAATCGAACACATAACAATCCTTCCATTATGAGCAATGTTGTATAGAGCTTGGATCACATAGAAAGCTGAGGCACTATCAAGTCCACTAGTAGGTTCATCAAGAAGTAAGACATAGGGTTGTGTTAGAATCTCAAGGCCAATGCTAAGTCTCTTCTTTTCACCATTACTTATTCCACGTGAATGCCAATTCCCAATCCTAGTATCGGCACAATCTTCTAGACCTATTTCCATTATTGTTTCTTCAACAACTCTATTTATCTCTTCTCTGGTCATCTTAGAAGGGAGCCTCATGTTTGCAGAGAATGTGAGGGTCTCTTTCACAGTCAATGTTCCTAAGAAAAATTCCTCTTGAGCCATGTAAGACTGAAAATTCAAGAAGTACACAAGCATGACCACTCATATCATTGCATCTCTTCATGTGGATGTTATGAACAAATTAAGAGAAAGGATGAAAATATAGTATAGCATGTAATTGTTATGATTACAATTAAGGAGAACTTGTATGGTTTCTGCAGCATTAGGTTATCTTACCATTTCTTTGCAATGCAGGTTGCACTTTTTCCCGTTGATTAAAATGTTGCCGGTTACTACAGCATTTTCAGGATATCTTCCTGCAGAAAATGTCAACACATTTTTTATGCTAATAATACAAATAGTTCATCATATGAAAAATAATAAAGGGAAATGCTAGACAACGCTTGCATACCCAGAAAGCTGGCATGTAATTGAACATAGTAAACTTATTGCAAGCATATTGCACAGACAGAAACAAAACTATAGCAGATTAGTTTATTTCGGGGTTAAAAGAGGTAACTACTTGTCATGAGCAAATGATAATTAGTGCACTTAGGTTATTGATTAAAAAAATTAAAAATAAAATTATTATTAATATACCTTTATCATGAATTTTTATGCATTCTCAACGTGATTTTAATAAAAAAAAAATATGTTTTTTAATTTCTTAATCAATGTCTTAAAGTTACTGGTTAATAAACTTTAAGCCTTTTTTTTTCAAACATGCATGTTGCTTTTAATGCTATAGAAAGTGGCAAGAAAACATAAATACATCAATTATTCATATTTTACTCATTAAACATTTGATTAAATTTGTTTATTTTATTGATCCAATAGATTGTGTGAAGTTAGATTGGATCAATTACATAAACAAGTGAGGTTCAAATTTTATAAACTTAGCCATTTAGTTATTTAAAGCTTGTGGATGGTAAAATGTACGTACATAGGAGATATGTTTAGTAAAATGGTTTTCATTTAGTTAATTAATTTTTTATAAGATTATTTGAAAAAATCATTCATATTTTGATTTTAATCTTAATTAACCATTTAAATAAGATTTATGAATTCATAATTATGATTATCGTTTTCACAATAATCAAGTGTTTTGAATTGAATCATTCCGCATACATGCATATGATAAGTTCCAACCATTATATTATGTTATCTTAGTAATTATGTATATAAAAATTCAAATAAATTAAATAGTTACAAGTGTGTAACTTTATAGTTAATATTTATTTATATTTTACAAAAATATATTGTAATTAGCATATATATATATATATATATATATATATATATATAATATATTATACATTAAGATAATTAGTGCACTTAGGTTATTGATTAAAAAATTAAAAATAAAATTATTATTAATATACCGTTATCATGAATTTTTATACATTCTCAACGTGACTTTTAATAAAAAAAATGTTTTTAATTTCTTAATCAATGTCTTAAAGTTACTGGTTAATAAACTTTAAGCCTTTTTTTTTTCCAAAATTTAACAAACTTTAATATGGTTTTCATTTTAAGATTACAAAATTATAAATTTAAATAATATAATTATACATGAATGATAAAAGATAAAATTTAATTAATTTTTTATAAGATTATTTGAAAAAATAATTCATATTTTTATTTTAATCTTAATTAACCATTTAAATAAGATCTATGAATTCATAATTATTATTATCGTTTTTACAATAATAAAGTGTTTTGAATTGAATCATTCCGCATACATGCATATGATAAGTTCCAACCTTATATCATATTATCTTAGTAATTATGTATATAAAAATTCAAATAAATTAAATAGTTACAAGTGTGTAACTTTATAGTTAATATTTATTTAATTTTACAAAAATATATTGTAATTAGCATATATATATATATATATAATATTATACATTAAGATAAATTTAATAAATTATTAAACTTTTTAAATAATATAAAACTTTATAGATTTAATATATTTAATTAAAATATTCAATCCAACAGTTATATGCCACGTATTTACTTACATCCACCCTATCCACGAAATATATCAAGTGGGAAGTATACAATATTCGAGTAAGAGGAGTGAATTATAATAATGTAAACAAGGTGATTCTCAAATTCAATCTTTTTTCGCACTTATTCCGGAAAAAAAATATTGATAAGTAATAATTAAAATTAATATTTTTAAAATAATGAATCTTATTATTCTCTATCTAAAACACACTAATTGAAAGATCAATAAATTACAATTTTACTAAAATTATAATACAAAACCACTGAAAACTATAGTAAAGGTGTATTAAAGAAACATTAATAAATTTTTGGTTTTAATTCTTTAACTAGATCCTAAGGATATTGATAAGTATTTGTCAAAAATATAATCCTTAGCTTATAATAATTTTCAGTTTGATAAAATATACATTTTACTTTTTAAAAAATTGGTTTGACATATTTTTTTAAAAAAACTTATATATTAATTAATTTTTTTAAAAAAAATCTAATAATTTGTTTTAGGCTTGACCCCGTCCTACCCTTATTACCATTTCTTGTTAGTTTTTTCAGTAATTCAAATTTTAATTTTGCTTGTATAGTTACATTAAAGCATAAAAATCGATAATATCTTTACTTTTGTATATGCTTAAAGTAATAAGTATTGAATTAAAAATTAATATCTTTGCTGATTTAGAAAATATTTAATATCAAAGTTATTGATAAAATAAAAATGTTAAAATTATCATTAATTAATATATTATATATTATTAATTAATATTTTGATAGGTAAATTAATAACATTTTTACTATAAACACTCAAAAGATTAAAAATATATTTGGATAAATACTAAAGGGTTTAATTAACCACTTATTTAATAAATTTTTATCATATAAAGTCTTATAATATAAATTTAATTATGAAATTAATTAAAATAAGCTATAAAAAAGTTCAAGAGAGTCATACAATATTTTTATAATGTCTATATAAGTTCTTTCAACCATTTCTTAATTGATTACCTTTATCAATAATTGAAAAAAAATATTAAATAAATATAATTATATTACTTTAATAAATAATTTTAAAAAAATTTAAATATTTTTTAAATTTAATTATAATATTGACATCCGTTATTGTCATAGGCACGACATTTGGATTCTTTAAGACAAAATGGTAGCTAACAAAACAGATAAATTCATAACAAAAATTAAAACAAAAGCATGTAATACATGTTAAATAATATTACATTGATCTATTTATGAAAAAGTAAACATTTAATTTATTAAAATTAATAAAAATAATTACATATCATAAATTTATATTTTACTAATTTTAGTAGCTTGTGAAATGTACACATTTTATTTTAAAATAAAATATATTTTTAATAATTAAATAATAAAATGTATAAGTTTTTAAAATAATTATATATGTATATAATAAATTTATTTTTAATAATATTTTTTGAAAAAATAACTTAATTTTATAACCATGAAATATACAGTAATAAATTTTTTTATAAATATAATTATTCACAGAAATCTAAAAATTTATATAAGATAATTAGAAAATTTAATAACAAATTTTATCTTCAAAATTTAAAATAAAATTAATAAAAAATTATGTAAAAATAAACCACTTGTATCAAGAGAGATTGTAGTTTATGTATAATTCTCAATCAATAAAAATTACAGGTAGCAGAACATCACTCTCTTTTTAGATAGAATACTCTCATTATAATATATAATATAGAAGTTGATTTTAGAAATATCTATAATATTAATTATTATTTTTATATATTTAATGAATGAATGTATTTACTTATATAAATAAAAGATATAAATAAAGGGATAAAAAATCTAACAATTAATACATTTAAAAATTTATCTTTTATACTTTAAATTACAAAAATATTGATTATAAATAAAATTCAAGGTAGTAACAAATTTGCTCAATGTTAATCTCTTACTAATTAACTTAATAAATACATCCAAATAGAGGAGGTATTACATAGCACTAATAAATAACATGAATTTTTTCATTATATAAGTATAAAATAATTATTATATGGTATAAATATTTGTGTAATATTTATGAAACAATGTTGCATTAATTTTTTTATGAACTTGCTTTACGAACTTGTGTAAAATTGCTTTGCAACAAGAGTTTCGGGTAGAAGAGAAATACAAATTAAAGGATAGTACAAAAGTTTTGACCAGTGATAAATGAAAGAGGACGAGAGTTGATAAGAGTTATTAAAACCATATGCACAGGTGAGAGAAGGAAGTGTGTAAATGAAAATAAATATCAGTAAATGCTTAACCTCTTTAGTCAATGAAAAATGAAAGTGAATTAACTCTCTTTAGCAATATCATAAAAATCAATAACTGCACTTTATTAAAAACAAAATTGAAATCTATCATTAATCTAAATGCCACCTGTTCATTAAAAAAGGTTGATTCAAATAACATCAATTTGTTGATTAATTAGGCTAAATTTAAGTTATTAAAAATGATAATTTTTTATAAGGAAAATATTTTTTGACACTAAAACTATAAAAGAGTGTGATAATTTTTAATAAAAAATTATCATTTTTAATTGTTCAAATTAATGTTAATATTTTGTTAAAAAATTTGGGCTGAGATTATAAAGTGCACCTATAGTTAAAAAGAAAAACAAAGTGTGTGTTTTATTTTAACGAAAGATCGATTTATTTTTTAAAATTTTTAAAGTTTACTTCGATAATATATCTTGATTTAATGAGTTGATTTTTATTATTAAAATTATTAATACAAAACTTTAATTTTGTTTAAAATACGATTTCAATAATATTTATACTATTGCATCTTAATTTTATATACTTTTAACCAACAGGTGCATAATGACAGTGCAGAAAGAGTCTTTGACTTTCCATCAACAATGCCTTGTTTTATTTTAATGGGACAGAAAGAAGATTGAAGTGATTTAAATGAAGGGGAAAAAAATAGAAGAGTGGGAGCCATACAAATAAAATTCCCTTAAAGAAGTGAGATTTTTATGAAAGTTTTAATTTTTATTAAATACTCACATTATTCTTCACATGGTACATTATTTTAGCAATAAAATTAAATTATGCATTATTTTATAACTTCGATTTTTTTCATATTTTAATTTTATTATATCATTTTATTTTTTTTCGTTTTACTTATTATATTTTCTACTTTATATATATATATATATATATATATATATATATCTTTTCCTCCAACCTTTACTAAGGTGGGTGTAATCTTTTCTCATTATTTTGTATATCGAAAGAAAAATTTATTTATTTACCTTTCTATCTAAACAAACGACACAACTTAGATAGTATTTAATTTGATAAAATATTTTAATTTTTAATTTAATTATAAAAATATCGCATTACCTTTTTATTTTATTTCTTGTTTCTAAATATTTGTCAGAAAATAGTAACAATAACATGACATTTTTATAAGTGAAAGTGAAAATTCAAAAAAATATAAAATATTTGTTCAAGGTAACCATATCTTCAATTTTTTTTTCTGTCAATTCTAATAATATAAATTTAATTTATTTTTTTATTCTATTCTACTTCATTTTTTCTTAATTTTTTATTTTTTACTTTTTCTCTTATTCTTTAATCATACTATAAAAAAAATATCGTTATATTCTAATAAATTTAAGCTAAATTGAGTAAAATCCTGTCACATGAGACAATTAAATTAGTTTGCAGAATGTATTAACTTTAACTAACTAACATTTAAAGGTAGATATACTCTTTCTTGTTTACATTAAAGATAGCCTTTATTTTTTGGTGAGAAACACAAACATATTTTAAATGAGCATTTTTGTGTTATAAATTCACCAACTAAACAATTTTTTATAAATTACCCATGAAGTAAATACTTTCAATCTATATAAGCTCTAATGAAATTTTATTTATTAAAGTTAAATAAAAATTTGATAGAATTTATAAGATAATCTATTAACTTCATGAGTCGACTTATATTTTTATGTTATTAATCTCACGCAATTACTTTGACCAATCCTCAAAATAAAATTACATTTTTCTTATAAAAGTTTTATCTAAAGAAAAAGTTTATTCCGGACAACACAAACACGTACTCAACCACTCCCATGCTGTATTATATATACCTTTTAATATTCATAAAATATACTTAAATAAACAATGTGTTAGTATGCTCTTAAAATAAGTTAATATAAGTTAACTTATTATTAACGTGCATTTAATTTTTTTAGAAAAAGATTTATAGATCTTGTTTGTATATTTTTCTAATAAATGTACATGTCAACACACACATAAGTAAAAATATAATGAAAATGTCTTGGTGTATTAACTTAAAGTTAATATTAGTTGGTGATAAAATATATATAGATCAAAGCCTTAAAATAAGACGTAAATTGAATATTCTTTAAAAAAATTTATAAACAATTTATAAAAATTATTATAATTTTTTATATATTATATAATTTATTAAAAGAAATTTATTTCAACATATTTTAATAAAATTTATAATTTAATTTGTTAAATATACATTCAATTAATTTAAATATGGAAATGCATCCTAAATACTTAGTTAGCTTTCAATTCCTGTTGTCCTCATTTTTTAAATAACAGAAGTTTAAAGGTAAGCTGACCTCTATCCACACTTAAATAAACTTGTGTGTAGGATAACGTGTTAAAAGTATAACATAAAACCATTCACAATATTACAATGTTATGAATTTTTTTTTCTTCTAAAGTTTAACTTGTTAAGTAAAGATATATAAATAATTAGATTAATGATTAAACAACACTATATGTTAAATTAATTAAAATAATACTGCTAATATTTTTTATTAAAAATAAAATTTATTAATTTCATCATTTAATTAAATTTTGTAATAAAAATTAAGATTATAAAATTGGCATAATTTAAAATTAATTGATATTCTGTTATTTTATTATAGTTTGATAAATTATTTATTATTTAAAAATAGAAAAAAATAGTATATTATATAATGTAAATGTTTAAATTGTATGAATTTATAGCTTTATGAAAATCAACAATTAGATTGATAAAAATTTTCTTAATGAAAATTAATAAATACCTTAAATTATATATGTTATTAAATTTAACACTTAATTATTTCATTTTATCCTAAATAGCTTTATAATATATTATTGTTTTGTTAACTTTATTTTTTAGAGTTAAATTTATTTATTTATCTAAAAGTAAAGAATTATTTATTATACTAAAATTATAAAAATATAGAAATGATTATCTCTTTATTAAAATTTGCTATTATTGATGGTTGAAACTCAACCTTATACCCACCCTAAGAACTAAAATAAATATTTTCTTATATTATATATAAAAGAATATTTCCAAACTTCATTGTCAACTGGCAAGGTTAACACACAACCGAATTATATATATATATTTTATTTTATTTTTTGGAAACATTTCAAAGTTTTAAACTAAAAAAACTTTCATACATGCATGTGACAATGCAGCACAACAGACTCTTCACTAAAAATGTAAGAGAGAGACCTGCGAATGAGTCGAGGAGGATGGTTTTGCCACAGCCAGAAGGACCCATGATGGCCATGATCCTACCAGCTTCTGCAAAACCAGTGATCCCATTAAGCAACACCTTCTTGTTATGAGGGCGTGCTGCTCCAAGACTACTAGTAATAGCAGCAGCAGTAGAAGTAGCAATTTCCACACTCAGATCTTCCCAAGTCATCACCATTGTGTTAATTGGCTACCACCTCTCTGCTATCTATGTTTACTACACTACCAATATATATATATATAAAATCAACACCTCTTTCTTTCTTGTTAGAAAAATATCAAAATAAGCTAACTCCTTTTTACTAGTACATGCTATTTATGTTTTTCAGGAGACCAGGGACCTTTCCCATGGCCAGCTATTTTTATTCCCCACGCGCTTATGAGTTGTCTAGTCCAAGTCCGGTCTGCACTAGTAATAATAATAATAAAATGAACTAACTAATTATATTTATTTTATCAATTTTGTTAATCATTATACTTAAGATAATAATTAAAGAATTTGAAATAACGAAATATTAAAAATATAATATTATTAGTACAAATGCTTATTTTTCATTATTTTTAATAAAAATTTTGTATTTATTAGTTGTGTAACTATTACTACCCTTGGAATTGGGATTGCAAAAATATTATTTTATTTCAATTTACACATTTAGTACTAAACATCAGTACATTATTTAATACTAATTTGTTTTTTAAGTTTCAGATTGCTATACACAAAAAATAACATAAAGGTAAAAAGTTATATATTTTTAATTTTCTTATTTGAACACAAATCTCATCTATATTTTACTTTGTTTTACAAACATATTATGATTTTTTATTTAGGTTAAATATTATTAAATTATATTGGAGGAGAGAAATTCGAATGACCTTATAATTTGTATTTATTTTTATACTTTGAGGATTTCTCCCAAAAAAAAAAAAACTTGAACCCTAAGGACACTTAACTATAAGAACACTTGTTAATATGTGTAGATGCATGCGCGTGATTTGATATAAATAACTCATCATTTAATACAAATTTTTGAAACTCAAGTGCCAGTTCAGTATACCCAAAAAAACAATTAAGGCTAAAGAAATCAATTATTTTCCCAAACAGACTACTGATTTGCTTTTAAGTTAACTATTTAATTTTTTTGGATGAAAAAAATCAAATAACTTTTCAATCTAAACTATTCTAAATGGCTAAATTGATGAAAATAAATAAATAAATAAACTAACCAATAGCCATTTATTTTTTAAAAAGCACCTTGTATTATACATCTTAATTTGATTTTCATTTCTCATATTTTAAAACAAACCATAAATATATTAAATTTATATTATTTTTTTAATCTTATCTAACTCAATATATTTTTCAAAAAATTTAAGATTATTTTACTTTGTGATTTATAATTTAAACTGCATTATTAGGTGTGGTACCACACTTTATGACACATATACATACATATAGTTCACCTTGTTGGTTCATGCCTTTTTCTTTCTAAAAACATTGTAGGGACCCAGTAAAGGGGCTATGGACTTTATTTCTGTTTGGGATTCTCTAGTTATTGAAAATTCATAAAATTCTTCATGAAGATTCATAAAATTAATAGATAAGTGTTTACAGTACCATCTTATTCCTTACCCTCTACTTATAAACCTAAGTCCAGATTTTCAACATGTGACTCCAAGATTTAAACTTTTATCTTCAAAATTTAAAATAAGGTTCTTTCCCTTTTGCTATGAACCTTGTTTTATTCATTCTAAATATAGAACATTAACTATCTAATTGTCGCACACAAAGATTAATGTACATAAGTTAAGTAATCTACAAAATTTACCACTTAATTAAATTAAATTTAAACATATATTAATTAATTAGTAAGTGTATATTACACGAGCAGTTAGTAATAATAATAATACTAATAGGAACAATCAACTGCAGCCAATCGTGACTCTTTAATCACGAACTCTGAACTCATGTGTTACCTTGCAATCCCTCTTTCATGCATGGCATACACCTTGTCATTAAGGTAGACAGGACATCATAGAGAACATAAATCGAGAGCATCCAGTATGGTATTCAAAAGATCATATCAAGCTAGAATAACACCAACCATAATCTTTTTATCAAGATAATCTTTCAGACCTAAAATAGATCGAGTCATCATTCAGCTAAACCCTTAGCTAAGAACCAAACATAGTTAATGTGACAATTCCAAGATTATATCAGGTGAAGTTTGCTTACATTATAGTTGTGTTTGAATGAGATAATTCAAAATTTTAGATAATTTAAAATTTTAAAAAAATTAAATTACATCAATTAAATTTTACTATTTTAAAATGTTATTTGAATGAATAATTAAATTTCTTTCATTTTAAATATTTTTATTTGAATAAAGTAATTAAATTACTTACATTTAAAAAAAAAAATTATTACTATATTTAACAAAATTAAAAATATTAAATTAACAATAACTAAATAAAAATATGAATAGAAAACAAATTAAATGATAAAAATAATTTCAAATTCTCTTAAAATTCTTTAATTTTAGTCTATTAAAATTTCCCCCTTAAATTCCTAGAATTTTAAATTCATTAAAATACAATATCCAAACAACAAATTTTAACTCAAAATGATAAATTCCTTCAAAAAAATAAATTACAGACTTCAAATATCTCATCCAAAACCATCTTTCAAGTTTTACAGGCTTTGAACTCCATGCTAATGATACAAGGTTTCGCTGAGTCTTGGCTCGTATTGGGTGGCAAACTTGCTTAGACTCATTGAACTACCTTTTTTGTCAAAAGACTGGCACTTAAATGCTGGCAAATCACCCACATCCACCGGAAAGAAGTTCAATCCCATTCTAAATTCATCGCTATTTGCATGTTACAGCAAAATTTGGATAGATACATAATATATATGCCACAAATGGAAAAGGGGGAGAGATAGGAGATCGAATACACAAGAAGAGGAAAAAAAGGAAGATTCAATATATCACGATGATACAGGCTTGACATCCGGGACATCATCAAGAATAAAAGGTCCAAGCTTACCAGTCCTGAATAGAGTAAGGAACTATTAACCGCGCTTCTGAGGCCTTGTGAGGTATCTTTAATGCCTTCTGTAGTGCACCAAATTGCAGGTCAATAAGGCGCTCTAAGTCATTCTCATCTTCTACATTCCCATTAAATTCTGAGAGAGTTGAATAGAGCGCATGCTGAACTTCCGTTACAATATCCTATCATAGAATAAGAATAAAAAAAAGCAAAAGAAGAAAAAAAAATGTGAGAAGCATAGATAAGTTCCGTCATAATAAAATGCAACATCAAATGTGAGAAACATAGTTTAATAAAACCCTTATTGGTAACTTAAGATGGAAGACATTAGAACTAAAGAAAGGAGCCTGGCAAGTCCTTCTAAAAAACAAATCAATTTTTTTTGCAATTCTAGACAAAATTAAGAACATCTTAATCAACTTTACTAAATCAGATGCCAGATCAGTTGTCGGTGGATAACTTCCCAAACACAAGTGAAAAAAGAAAGGTTTAAATATGTTTTTGGTTTCTTAAAAACATCAAAATTTGATTTTAGTTCCAATAAAATTATTTTTTCCTTACATTTTAAAAAATTATTGGTTTTGTCTCTCACCAATGTGACTTCATGAAAAATTGATACATGTCAACATTTTAGCTAGTCATGTCATGATTTAATAGGGACCAAAACAAAGAGAAAATAATTTTATAGAGACTAAAATCAAAATTTAATATATTTTGAGAAACTAAAAACATATTAACCCAAGAAAAAAAATATAATGAAGCACTTGTATTAATGAATGTTTTATGATTTCTCTACTATAAGCAAGTAACAGTTTTTCAAATACGTCAAGCAAGGAAGCAAACCAATTTATTAAATACAATGACGGATCAAATCAGGAATAAAGGCCTTTTCATACTCCTCCAAGGGAGCAACGGGCACTACAGGTACTAGTTTCACTAGGTTGAACCTCCTTCCCCTCCTACCTCTGGTAGACTGCAAGAACAAAAGTTAAGGGCACAATTGCCCTAGTTTTAGAACAGAGGTGAAAAGACTTTCATTCGAGAAAAGGAAGCATGGGGGAGAGTGCAGCTATACAAAAGCTGCTTTAAATAATCACCTTATATTAGAGTAAATATGGAAATAACAAGGGAAGCGCTGGACCTCGCTACAGACCTAGCAGGAATCGCTAGGCCTCACATTCAATAAGGGAAGGCAATCCTGATACTATAATAATTAGTGGACTGTTCATCGCATTGATTATGGATCACAATACTGTAAAATATTTTTTTTTTCACTTTCAATAGATTTAAATTAAAAATCACAAAGTAGTAACCAACTTCATTCAAGAAAACAATAAATGATGAAATAACTCAGGCTACAATCAAATGTCATTGTCAAAACATCTAAAGCACAGATTCTCAATCAAATGGGGTTTAAAACAATTTGGAAGTGTAATATAATTTGGACTTTATCAACCAAGTTGTAAAAGTAGTTAAAGCATCATATTCCATTACACAGAGAAGATAAACTAAAGAAGAATGCTACTGGTTACCTCAGCATATACCAAGTCACATCTATTTGGTAAATTTCTTCTCTTTGACTTAAGATTTTTCAGACTATATTCATGATTTTCCTCAGCTTCACATTCAATCCCATTTATTCTCCTGTTATTTAGGAGCTTCCAGTGAAGTGGCGTCCCTCGGGTATCCAAAACTGCCAATAAGTACTGAGCAATTCGCTCCTCACCCACTACTGAATCTTTCACTCCCTGTCAATGCAACAACCAAGTTTACATGAAAAACTATACCTGGACATGTACTACAAATGATATCACATTCAGAAACCCAACAAGATGCAAATGCCCCATCCAGACCCCTTTCAAGGTAATTTACATACCCCATACTCAAAAAGGAGCTCACGAGTAAATGAAAATATCCCTCTCAATAGAGGTTCATTGAACTAGAGTGCCCTTAATAAATGCCAATTTACATTCAAGAATCAAGGGTAAGAAATTATAAAGTGTTTTTCCATTTCACAAATGCAAGTAATATTCACAGTTTCACACACTGTATCAGCTTTGTGCTTATGTTATAATCATGATAATTTAGAACCTCAGTAAGTAAGTAGTTATTAAAGGATTGCTTATTTTATATCAACAATCAACTCCCCACACCATGCAAACTTTCCAATATAAAATGTTTGATTAATATTAATTTGGGGATACATCACAATGACAGTCAATGATCCAAAATAAATTCTATCTAACTTTAGAACTAAGGGCCACCATTATAGAAGAAATGAAATTCAGCTTTATTTTAATGTAGATAATATAAGACAAAATTTATCAATTTGAATAGCAAGCCAACCTCCTATTACTTTGTCCACAAAAGAAAATGGGAAATAAGAAGCAAGGATACTGATTGCATAATATGCAAGTAATTTAAACTGAATCAATACATAAAAAAGGGACTGCAAGAGTTCAGCAATCAACAAACAACTTCTACATCCTGCATGAAGCATCTATTTGAAGACATCAGCCACAACTTCAAAACCAGATCAACAGAAAGGGGAATAGATCATCACTGTAAATTTAGTTGATATTGTACCTGCAAGAGCCAGCTTTAACCCTGTCTCTATGTCTGAGATACTAGGAACCAGAACCCCTGGGGTATCTAGGACATATATGCTAGGTTTATGTGCTATCTGAAACAACAGGTCAAATTCAGAGTTTAGCTATGGGCTAGAATAAGCATTGTTTTTTCTTCTCCCTTCTCTTTTGCAAATAATATTTCATTTTTGCGTTAATAAATATTCAAGCAACTAACAAATTTGCAGGCACTAGAATAACTAAAAACTAACCTCCGATGCATATCCAGACGTAACGAAAACAACGAACTGTTTCCTAAACACAGTTACCATATTTGCAATACTTTCCAGAAAGGATAAGCATTTTGCAGTACAATACATTGCCAAAAACACAATTCATTGGGCGTATACATAGTAGGTATGGTATTTGAGTTTGTTGTGCATTATAATATTTTGATTGGTCCCCCACTCATTTAAAAACATCTGTTTTTACTTTTCCAAAAATATTTTATTCAAATCATATATGCTCTTTAAAGTTAAAACCCCTTCAATTTATTTACTCTAGTAATTTCCGAAGAACTTTAAACCATAAATTGAAATAGCAAGCTTTGTAAAACTAAAGCAATAACCTTGAATCCTGCAATGTCTTGAGTAACACCAGGTAATGGACCCACAGCAGCACGCTTCCTCTTTTCCTGCACTATCAAACAACATGGCTTGGCGTCAAAATGAACATTCAATTGAATAGAAATCAATCGAAACACTTACCAGGAAATCTGGAGTGCGCAATTTGATGAATAGAGTTGATGAGAGCTGATTTGCCAACATTAGGAACACCAACGACCATCACAAGCAGAGTAGGTTCTTTGCGAATCACTTCCTTCAATTTCATCTCCAGCAGTTCTAGAAGCTTCTGAACCGATCTCTTGCTGTGAGCATTTATAGGAACACGATCCTGCTTGCACGTCTCAAAATAATGCCTCCATTTCTTCAACAAAAAAAGAAGAAGAAAGGATCACACGACATAAATGAATAGGTAAACGACGAAGATGATGACATGGATAATATTGTTACATGCATGATGTTAGGGTTGGCTAAGTCCTTCTTATTGACAGCGACGAGGCGTCGTTTTCCGGAGAGGAGAGGCTGAAGATTAGAGTTAGCGGAGGATAAGGGAATGCGAGCGTCTCTGACTTCGATGACGGGTGACAGATGGCTCGCGTTGCTGCTGCCATGTGTCCGGGGAAACAATTAATGGCTCCCCCACCCTCGTTGAACGCCATGTGACTTTTTTACCGTAATATTACCAAAAAAAAATTAAAATACTCAAATAAATCCTACAGGATTAGACCTAAGTTTTTAGTTCTAGACACTCTTTTTTTCTCTTCTCTTCTGTCATCTACCAAGAATTTTAAAAAACCCAATGCAGGCCCAATGGACCAATGGGTTTTCGGCATAGCCCAAAATCCAGAAGCCCACAAGTACAGATTATCCATCACAGCTGTACCGAACGACATGAAGTCAGCGTTGACTTTGAAGAGCAGTCGATAAATACGAGTATTGAGAATTCCAAAAGCAAGAGCAGCGGAAGAGCATTCCAATCTAGTCACCGAAAGATTTGAAGTGGAGAACCGATTCGCAACTACAAGATTTTATCAAGTCAGAGAGGTAAAACTGTAAGAATTTTGTTTTTTTTCTTTTCTTCACCAACTCTTTATTCCGTTTGTTTCATTTCTTAACTCGTTAATATATATGCACGTAGCTCGTGGCTTTTTCTGTTTCTCTTTAGTCGTATTTATACCCTCATAACATTCAACCTATTTGTTATTATTCGTTCTAACCCTCCTGTTCTTTTTTTTTTCCCTCATTTGTAGAAACCATATTTATTCATGTAAAAATATGTAAAATTTTATGATAAATATAATATAGCTTTAATTGATTCTTAGAGGATATATGCACTATATTTGTTGCCGTTTAAATTATGGTACAATTATAATAATTATCCAACCCAACACTGCATCGATTAATACTTTTATTTTTATCTAGTATTTTACATTAATATTTTTATATATTTTTCAAATTTAATTATTTTATTTTTTTACTTTTGAATAAATAATTTAATAAATTCGATATTCTAAAATATTAATAAATAATCATGTAAAACCCCTCATTCGATATACAAATTAACGTTTTCTTTTCTGGTATCCAGTGTTAGAATTTAAATATAGGATTTTATTTTAATGCATATAAAAATTGTTGGGCAGAAAATGGATTAGGTTTCCGATTGCTTCTTTATGAATTTATATTATACTTAATTTAAGTCAAATTTAATAATTAAATAATTAATTTACAAAAAAAAAAAAACATGCTTCAAGGGATTTTCAGAAGGTTTTTTCAATTAATAAATTAGTGTGTTTAATTTTGATGTATATTTAATCTAAAAATTCACGTACTATTTTTATTAATATGATAATTTATAGCTAAACAATAATTTTAAAATGTGTGTGTTTGTGTGTATGTGTCAATAAGATATTAGATTATTTTTTGGGTCAAATTATATTTGATAAAGTCTGGTCGAGTCTTAAAAACAAAATTCTATTAAGTTAACAAATTAGACACCTTATAGAGTATACCAAATTGTTTTAAAAAAGAATGAGAATTTATAAACTTAAACACTCCAAAAATATTATTATTAAAATAATTTTATTTATTAAATCAGTCCAATTTAATCGAATAAATTAAATATTAACTTATCAAATATTATGTCAGATGCTTATTAATTGTATAAAAGAAAGATTATATTAAACATATTGTTTTCGTTGATTCTCGTATCCACGTAAAATAAATAAACTTTGAAGATAAATAAAAAGTAATAAACATGAGTGATTTTGAAATGACAAATACCTTGTATGTGTTACCACGTAAAATATATTACAACCAAATGTTTATTAATTTTTGTTTATTCAATAAGATAGTAGTTTATAACTAGATTGTGATGTACGAGTTCATAAGATGTATGATTATTTATTCTATTCTGATCAGTTAAAAAAAGAAACAAATACAGAATAAATCTTTTGGCTGATCAAAGTATAGAAAATTTATTCTATTAGTAATATATAATGAATTAATAAAAACATTAAATAAAATTTTCACATATATTATAATATATTTTAATAAATAAATTATTACACATTTTTAAAAAATATTTGAATGTTTATTGGGTAAGTAAAAAGTTATTTGATATAAATTAGATATTATAAAATCATTATATTAAATAAGTTATTCAAATAACATTAAAATAATTATTTTTAAGTAATAAATTAAAATAAGAATTATTTTTTATCTTTTAATATTTAACGGATTTAATATGATAAATATAGATGAAATAATCGTATTGATATTTTAGAATACATTTTGTAGATTTTAATACTTTTCTATATATTTATGTAAGCAGCGTAATAAGTTTTCTCTTGAATTTTATATTTTATAATATTATAATATCCATCATATTTTAATTTGGATTATTCAAATTTTGATAATATTTTTTTTAGAGTGAATGAAATGATAAAACTTTTAGAGTGAAGATGGAATATTTGTAAATTAACTACTTCTATATGTACACACAAAGGAATTACGAGATCAAATTGGGGAGCTAATACTATGGGTGTTATTTAAGAGTAATTTTTTTATTTTAAAATATATATCAACTTAGATTTTGATAATGAGGTTTCATTGAATTTTTTATTATTTAAAATAAATTTATTATATATATAATTATTTACAAAAATATAAATTTTATTATATAATTATTCAACTGTATATATATTTATTTTAAAATAAAATAATTATATATTACACGATTAACTAACTCATTTTAAAAATATATATCAATTTAGATTTTAGCTATGAGATTTCATTACATTAGTTTTTCTTTGTCAAATTTAGTGACAATGAATGCAAGAGAGTCCAAATATATATACTAATTTGCCAAATTGAAATAAAATATTTTCTACTTTAAAAAAATGAATTTTATTTTTCATACAGTTAAAGAATTACATTAATAACACTTCACACCAATAATTAAGGACTTCATTAATGCAAAAAATAATAATTAAAGTTACATGACAGTGTGTTGAAAATTTGTTTGTATTGTTTAAGAACTAAACTAATGATTATATATAAATATATATATATATATATATATATATATATCATTTTTACTTTTAAAGGAAAAAATAATTATTAAAGATTTTTTTTTATATATACAAATTTATAGCTTTACTCTTCCCCTTTATTCCTCAAGTCTTTATTATGGCACATTTTTTTTCGTACTTCTAGAATAATGTATGGTGTTATCTTGAAATATAAATTTTATTTTGCTATACGTTTCTTTGTCACAAGAGAAAAGGCAAAAGGCATTGGCCTCTATTGTGATTCACGTTTGTCTTCACCTCATCCTTATAATATTGAAACAATTTTACTCGAGCACAAAAAAAATGTAAAAAAGTTATAGACCAAGTTTTTTAATAAATTTTTTGACATGTTTTATTGCATTTCTTTGGAACATCTTTGAAAATAATGATATTTTTCCGGTAAAATATTAATCACAATAATATGATGCATATTTTTTTTATTACTTCGTTAATAATACAAATTATAGAAACTTTGAGAATTGTCAAAAAGCATTCATAATATTTATTAATTTAGAAAAAATAAATATTATTTCAAGAAGTATACAAAATAAATTAGTTGTTATTTCTCACAGGGATGGGTGATATTGCTTCTGGAGTGGGCACCATATTATTGGAGAAGCTTGCAACCAAAGCTTATAAGGAGATTATCTTGGCATGGGGTCTCAAAGATGATGTAGAAAGGCTTCAAGAGTCTGTGAAACTCGTCAATGCCCTTCTTTTAGATGCTGAAGAAGACAAGCAATTCAAAGACCAAAGAGTCACCCGATGGTTGCAACTACTTAAACGTGCATTCTATGATGCAAATATCATATTGGATGAAATTGAGTGTGAAGCAAATACAAATAAAGTAATCAAAATCCATGGATGTGTTGCTCAAAAGGTGCGTCAATTTTTCTCATGTTCTAATCCACTTGTATTTCGTGTCAAAATGGCTCACAAAATTAAGGACATAAGAGAAAAGATTGATGAGATTGCACTCAATGGAAACAAGTTCGGTCTCATTCAACGTTCTACAAATGGCATGGCTCTCCATAAAATGTTACCATGGAGGGAGACCCATTCTTCTCTACCTTCACGAATAACAGGTAGAGATGAAGAAAAGGAATATATCATAAGTTTGTTGATGAGTGGACCATCACAATCACAAAGCAAAAATGTTGATGTCATCCCAATTGTTGCAATGGGAGGCTGCGGGAAGACCACACTAGCTCAGTTGGTGTACAACGATTCAAGAATAGCTGATCATTATGATTTAAAATTGTGGGTCCATGTGTCACAAGATTTTGATGTTAAGAGAATAATATCAAAAATTGTTACACAAAAAGATGATACAAAAGGCAAAGGCGGTGAAGACATGACCTTAGAAATGTTGAAAAATCTTCTTCATGAGAAATTATATGAGAAGAAATTTTTACTTGTCCTTGATGACATTTGGAATGAAAATGCTAAAAGATGGCATGATCTACGGGATCTCCTGTTGGATACAATTGGTGAAAGGAACAAAAATGATTGCAAAATCATAGTGACCACTCGCAGTGACAGAGTTGCTGATATTGTGAAGACTGTTACTAAAATCAACTTACAAGTACTCCCAGAAGAGGAATGTTTGCAGTTATTTTTTAAGTGTGCCTTTCAAGAAGAGGGGGAAGCAAATCAACGCCCCAGGCTTCAAGAAATTGGGAAGGAAATTGTTGCAAAGTGCAAAGGGTTGCCACTAGCCATAGTGACTTCA